ATGGCACTTTTCAAAGGTTACAGTATTTATAGAGCTAAATTAATTTTCATTTTTGCCTTCAGTGTAGTTGGCATTGAGAGAAATGCTTTTGATGTTTAGTGTTCTCACAGTGGGCATTAATGTCAAAGCCGGGTGTAGCAGATGGTAAGGAGATGCCTCAAGTGAAAGTCCCTTAAAGGCTTCTGTTAATTGTTTTTAAAGACGTAACACAAGTTGCGGCTCTATGAAGAAGCTTTTACTAAGGGTGACATCTTTCTGAGTTTGATTTTAAAGTAATATCATATGACTTTCTGATTGAACATCACATGCAGTCACCATAATCCTGTGCATTATAATTCAAGTTTGGACTGTTGTTCTCAGGTTTAAACGTTGACTTTGGGATTCTATTCGACCGTGTTTTGATATAATAGTAATTCTTTTTTTTCATTGTCTGTCTGAATATTCCTTTTATTGAACCTAAAACGATATGGCCTGTCTCTTGAAGCCCCCCCCCCCCAGTTTTTCCTGCTACTTTGCTTCTGTGCTCTTCCCGTCCCTGCACCACTATTGCAGCCATGGGAAATGACTGTAGTGACACCTATACAGTATATGTATAGTTATGACTTCACAAACCTTACAAATCTGTTTGATTCTGCCTAGACCTGCTTCAAAAATTGGTGGACTGAATGTGTGCTGATACAACAGCATCATGATCCTGATATAATATTAAAGAAGCATGTTGAACATGGTTTACAGGTTCCTAAATGTCCTCTAGTAAAGTACAAATCTACATGGTCATTTCAGTATTATGTTATGTGGTCTTAATACAGTATGTTTGTAAGCTTAATATTCCTTCAGCATCAAACCCACTCTAACTAATTTCAAAATATGTCTTTAATATTCACTAGAGTTCATCTGATATCCCTCAAATGCATTTTAACAGTGATGAAATAAGCTGCCTGCAGGTCATCACCCATAAATGCATGAAAGAGGTAAAACGGCTTTTGAAGAATTGTCAGATATGATGTCGGTCAATGCAATATCAACCCTTACTTGTGAGATATTTTTGGCAAATAACATAAAAGCAGTATCAAATTGCAATCTGACATTCATAATATGTGTATTTTACTTCCCACCGCTGCTTTAATTCATTGCCTGCCACACATTGATTTGGCCTCTGTTTGCACTGGCAATTCCCATACTAATTCCTCAAGTAAGATATTCAGCCATTGCCCTTTTTAACAGCCCAAAGTTTCCTGACCAACTTCGCGTTAATAACCAATCGGCCCCAGAGTCCAGTGTTTTGTTGTTGTCTGGAATTTATTTGTCCTCCCATAAATTATTCAGTATTTTGCATCGACTAACTGCCATACCTTTAAGGTTGCATACCAAGACCTTGGCACACCTTGCATGTTAATATGGCCAGACTCACAAGGTGAAAGACAATCCCAAAATTACCAACGCTTTAGTAGAGTTATCCAAAGACTCTTGGACAGAAGTTTTGTCAAGCATCCTGATTGTGTGGCAACTTCCTGTCGTGCCAGGAGATCTGTACATCCATTTGTATGCCATGCTCTAAGCCTGTTGGTATCTGAGCCGCTCTGTAACAGCTTGTTTGGCACAACGTCCATTATGGCACTGTGAAAGGATCCTTTGTTGTCAGGCCAACATAGTGTGAGGAATCATAGCCTGTCACCATCAGGAGGTCGATGCAGATCCTCAGTCCATCTGTCTATAGACATCTACTGTGAGGACACATCCCATTCCCTCTGACAACCAATGCAATTACAAGCGCCTGGCAGATGAATGGCAGCCAGCAGTCGAGATTAAACAAGCTCACAGTGAACCATATTGCTTACATTCGATCCCGCTGCTATTCAGGAAATGAAGTTGAACCCGTGCATTGCAGTTGTCATGTTGTTGTGGGCACCTCGGATAACCATCTCAACTTTCCCTTTTCTCAAAGGTGCAAGGCTATTATAGTCGCTGAAGAAAAACCTAAGACAGCATCTGTTTTGCTTGAGGAGGAAGTAGACTTTAGTTTATAGAATAGTGCCGTTCTCTTCAAGCTTGAAAAAAGAAACATGTACAGTAAAGTGAGTAGGAAGTGTTCATGGCAGCCTTGTAAAATTGATAAAAGTAAATGTTCGTTCTGTGTCTCTCTTGTTCTTTTGTTTTGAGAATTGTTGGAAAGGACAAGATTCAAGATTCAATAAGAAGGCTAAATAAAATTCACTAAAAGCCAGCCATCAGAATAACTATTTAGGTGAGTAAAATATTCATTACACAATTACACTGCTACCATTGGATGAAAATAGAAAAACAGCATGGATTTTGTACACCACAATTTGGATCGTCTAGATTTGACCTGTTCACTCAAACCACAAAATCAATTTCAATCTTTTTCCAGACAGCTGCTGTCACAACAGTACAGCTAAAATATTCCTATTTCACCAGCTACTAACAGGAAATATTCTAGGTATGGGTAATATGCAGTCATGTTAGATAAGTGGTAATGAAGACCTTCAAACTTTCCAAAAAAATAAAATGTAAATGGCTATCTCCTGCTACCAGAGAGTGAAGTTTTCTGTGACGTAAAGACCAACCGATCAGCAGGTAAGCAGTGCTTTGGAGTGTTTGCACCTAAGCCATAGCTGTGAATGTACAGTAAGGTGCTGATTGAGTTATTGTACACCTGTGTATGTGCTGTACTTTAGGAAGGTGAGGTGATGAGACACTCTGAGTGTAAAGAAATTACGCACACTGCAGTGAATCACAGCAAATTAGGAAAACACTTGAGTTCAGGCTTGTTGTTTTGTGTTTGATAAAGTCTTTCAAAACTTGAAATTACCATCTCTTTTATTTCTATGTGAGTTTTCAACAAATAACCAACTTGCTTAGTTGGAAACATTTCCAACAAAAAATGACCTTTAACTCTTGTTAATTGTGGCAAATTGTATTGATCATGTGAGATAAAGTAAGACATGGCAAACTATTTGTAAAAGTATTTAGTGAAAGTGTTAAAGTTTAGATGAGTTTCTCATATCCAATTTGATTATTTTGTAACAATAATTACAGGTAACAGTATGTCAGAAATGTGTTAATATAGATTATTGCTTTAGACTGTTGATTTCTCGAGAGTAATTACAGCATCCAGTAATTCAGTGAGCTGTGTGAATATACTGGAGGAAAGGAATCCTCCAACTTTGAGAGCCTTTAAATGGAACTAGTGCAAGAGTATATCTGACTGACCATTTGCAGGCTCAATGTGCTGACATCAGCCATCTTGCTTCTTTAAACTGCCTATTAGCTTAGGTACAGCAGTGCTGAGTTGCAGGCTGCAGGCTTGCAAGTTTTTCAGACCAGGATTGCAGCTCACGCATACTCACCTCCACTCGCTCCATACCTCAGAATCAAACCACTAAACACCTGGGAGCTGCCCAATACAACTTCAGTCTTAAACTACTGATCACCGAGCAGCTTCTCAGGAGCAGTACAAGGTTACGTGCCTTGCTTAAGGGCAGCTCGAAGGTAATTATTAAGCCGATTTTCCCAAATGATACCTGGATTTCAACCAGTGACCTTCTGCTCATAAATCTGCCGCTGTAGTTTTAACCTAAAATCTTATCCTGTATTTTAGCTTGATATTTTCTCATCCTGGCAATTTATGAAGCACAAATATGTTGCTTGGTGAAATGTCATCATATTTTCCAAAACACTTTTAGGTTGCAGTTTACTTCAACAGGATGTAAGGAAGCATTTAGCCGAGACCCTTTTAAAATGTTTGTTTTGATCTCTGGTGCACTCACAATTCCGTTTTGTGTTTATGAACAGAAAGGTATAAGAGATTGAATAGAGCTTGCAAAGAATATAATATGTTTATTATACGGTTACACGCCGATTTACAGAAGCACGTTGCCCTTAAACTACATGTCCCACAATTCATCTCAAATATGCCTTTTTTTATCAGAATTTAGCTTTTCCTTGAAAATGTTACTTATTTTTCTTCAACATTTTACTTTTTTTTTAAATGTAATTTTTCTTTTAAAATCATTTTGTGACATTCTCACTGAAGAGACTTGAGCCCTGGGCTTCTGCTTTCAGACGTAGTTAATTAGGAAGTTATTACCCTATCCGATAAAAATCCAATGCAGAGGCAATCACGTCACATTATTTTGTATATATTAAAAATTCATATCTGTATTTTTATATAGTCTTAAAGTTACAACCGGCCCTTTGAGTCCAACAATAATGCCGATGTGGCCCGTGATGAAATTGAGTTTGACAACCCTTCATTAGATGAAAGGTCAGAGGATCACCAATGTATGATTCATCCCGAGAAATAGGAATACCTCATTGAGATTTGGTGACAATGAGACTGTTATTGCGAATTATGTTTATCCTTGCAGTTAGCTAGCATGGTCAAAATAATGTTATGTTTTTTCCCAATCCACTTGGTTTATTATCTTATGTCATCAAAATCAGACTACAGCTGCCAAGTCAGAGTCTCTTTTGATGGTGGTACTTAGAGCCTAGTCGTTCCATAAAGCTTTAAAGGGCCAGTTCATTCTTTAAAGACGTACATTTCCATTTATTGCTAAATAGCAGGAATCTTTTACATTCTGGCTGCCACCCCAATACAGTAGAGGTAAACAAAGCTCAAGGCATGGGAAAAACAACAATGTGTCTTTCTACAATCAGTGTAACAGTAATAATAATAATAATAATGGCTTTAATTTATAAAGCACTTCATATTTGCATTCAAATCCCGAAGTGCTAACATCGTAAAAAGAATAAAAAGCAATAAATAAAAATAAATAAGTAAAAAGAATAAAATAAGATAAAAGGGTGATAATAAGTAAATAAAAGGTCTAGGGAAAGGCTCTATTGAAGAGGTGGGTTTTAAGGCCTTTTTAAAAACCTCCCGGTCTGTGGGATGCTCTCATCGTGGTCGGGGAGAGCGTTCACAGACTGGGGGCAGGCCGAGCAGAAGGCCCCGGTCCTCCCATCAGGTACGGGCTTTAGTCCTCGGGGGTTTGAGGAGTTGAGTTGCTGGAGCGGGCTGTGCCGCACGGAGGTAAGCGGGGGTGGAGGAGTTCCTTGAGGTATGGAAGGGGCTGTACCATAGATACCACTGGTGGTGGCTCCAGGACGGAGACCTTGAATTCGATCCTCAATTCCACGGGGAGCCAGTGTAGTGATTTCAGGATGGGGGTGATATGATCATATTTGCGCACCCTCATCAGGATCCTAGCAGCGCTGTTCTGGATGTACTGGAGCCTCTGGATGCTTTTCTTAGGGATCCCGATGAGGAGTGCATTGCAGTAGTCCAGCCTTGAGGAGACAAAGGCGTGGACTAGCTTTTCCGCGTCAGACAGAGTGAGTGAGGGGCGGAGTTTGGCGATGTTCCTGAGGTGATAGAAGGAGTTTTTGCACAGCTGTTTAATGTGGGCCTCAAAGGTCAGATGGGCGTCCATTTTCACACCCAAGTTGGTGACTGTTGAGGAGAGGGTAATGTCCTGGCCGGAGAAGGTGATGGTCGTGATGGTGGATGACCGAACCTGATGTGGGAAGTAGTTTTCCGTGGGAAAAATTACAACAGATACAAACTTATTTTCACCTTCACTGTATCTGCATGACTGCATATTGTTGGCCATAACAGAGAAAATAGATGATTTTTGTAATTTAAGGGCATTTTCTCCTAATTATTTTAACTCTTGCAGATTCATAAATCTCCTGAGGCCTGGATGTGGAGTATAGCTGCAGCCCATAATCCATGAATGTTTGCTTACCTCTGCATGCCACTGCCAGCTTGTTAAATGTGTTAAACATGATAACCTACAACAAATTGCAAATAATCCCCACGGGAGACCAAAACTCGGCAAAGAATCACACTTCCTCAGATAATAGGAAGTGTTGGAGGTGGCAAGCAAAGGGATTGTCAATTAAATCTGATCTCTCATGCTCAATCATTACAGCAACATATTGTGTTTGCATTCTCCTGCACATTGCTTTGTAAGAATCACTTCAACTCAGGAAGAAAATCATTATTAGACAGTTTGGACGTACAGGCTTTTTATTATTAAAGATGATAAACCATTAGAATGTGACATTTTCAGCAATTAGAAAACTTTGCAACTGATGGAAATGGGGATTTGTAGGTCTTACACGGCCGACCTAACAGGGAAATGTGGGATACAAAAGGATTTACGAACAATTCAGAGAACTTGAGGAACTATAAGCTACTCTTTGAACTTTCTAAACAAGTTTGGCACTCCTCTAAACATACTTATCCTCACAAGGTTAAAAACTAGATGGATTTAACGTCAGGCAAAAAGCTGCTTTTGTTTTCTGCAGATGTGATTTTGTCTCCATTATGCAGCACCGGCTGTGAGCTCCGGAGTTTGCTCAAGCAACCTTCAGCACACAAAGTGCCTTCCGTACTCGAAGCAAACGACAGTTTTTGAACAAAATAGGCAGGTCTTTAGTATTTATTCTATAATGATGCAAAACTGAACTCCAGACATACAGGGTCTGATTAGCTCTTAACCAGCGCTCATTGGGCTCATAAGAGCTGTTGTATCTGTTGTAAATTTGTTCATGCTGCCCTTCTTGGCCAGGTCACTCTTGGAAAAGAGATTTTAATCTCAATGAGTCTTTTACCTGGTTAAATAAAGGATATAAGTAGTAATTGGACATCCAGTACACGACAACTGTGTCAAAAATAAGCATCATAATATGTATCTATAAATATCTATCTGCAAGACTTGGTCCATTCCAGGGGGTTCATATTATGAAGTGATGATTGTTCATTTGATCACTTGAATAATATTTGTAATATATTGTCAATCATTTGGGATTCATTTTGTACACCTCTCGTTGTTTTAATGCGAGAGATACTGAGTCTAGGAAAAGCCAAAATACACGACTTGGGGTACAATGTAAATGACCTGAGGATGAAACACTCGATTACCATTTATTTCACCATTATCAGTTACCAATATTATAAAATAGCATCATTGCAGTCGACAACAATGGGTTAAAACAATCCTAATGTATTTGTAGTATACCTAGGCTTTGCTATTCATATGATTTACAGCTGAAGAGGAGTATAGGAATAAAATATTACGTCAGGTAATATTCAAAACTATGGAAGAACTGTACTCCGGTTTCAAAGTGGGAGAGTGAATAATGCTTCCTGCAGAATGAAAAATGACAGAATCACATCTAACAGTTCTGGACTAAATCATCACGTTACCACTCACAGTAGGCTACTCATTTTCTAAGCTAAGGTTTCCTCCTCATCTCTGGACCAAACAGTCGTTATACAAAAATCTAGGATTTTAGGAGTGCACAAAGTTTTCCATACTGTAACCTTGGCCTCCATCAGCGCCTAAAAATCCCTGTATAATCCCCCATAGTTTACGTTAAAGTTAAGTTTTAGCAAAAGGATGAGCGTAGTGTGAGTAATGACTCATCCCGATGCCCAATAGAGCAGTCCTTATTTCCGTTGAAAATAAAAGTCTTGCTATGCACAATTTCAAATGTGTACTTTATGTCTGAAAGCCCGGTCCCACCCAACAGTGCCAGTCCATATCAATTACACTTCACACTGACAATAAATAGCATTTCATTAGGGCTCAGACATTATCATCAAATATTAAAAGGGAGTTATTCAGTGAGCACAAATGCACTCACAAACCCTGTTACAGGCTCCAAACTGCTGGCAACATAAAATCTACTCCCACACACATACTGTACTGTATAGTCAGTATGAAATGGTTCAGATGTCAGAGCGGGAGTGAACTCTGTAATTTATATCATTAATTGTCTGCTCTGTTGAAATGTTTTAGTTTGTTTGAATAACTTAAAGCATACATTATTATACAGATGAAGTAGTTTCATCAATACACAGATTTGAAGGTCTATTTGTTATACTTTTGTGGTAGTGCCAGGTTGATAATATCTACAGAGATATGTGAGAAGTAACTTTAAATCATTACAATTTAAAATGAATTTAAAGAAATTGTATTTGGCGTCTTTCTTTGCTCGTCTTACCTCAGTGTGTATGAAATAGTGTTAGTCTGTGCTGTAAACTCAGGTAAGCTTTCTAGGAATATGTATGCTAAAAGCATGGCTGTATAATTAGGTCTCATTAGCATTTTGATTTAATGTAAATGTTGTTATTTTTATTGCTTCCTGTGCATTATACATATCATAATGTAATCATAATCATAATGTCTTCTGTGATGATGATGACTGATAGCATTGATTAAAAAAGAAACCTTGTATATCAGACATTGCTATGGCAGTGGAATAAAAATGAGATCAGTGTTGTGCTGCGGGTTTATTTAATAGAATGTTTAAAGCTAAAGTTGTCAAAGTCATCATGTTAGTTGACTTTAAAGTGAGTGAATGGATACATGAATAAAGATGCACTCATGCACCTTTTATTGTGATAAAATAAGAAAAATAACTCAAGTAAATCATTGTAAAAAAACAAAACAGGAGGAGCCAAACAATTAAATGTAAAGTGATGAAAGAGAATGTCAAAATAACATTTGATGCACATTATATAAATATCTTAAAATCACATAGGCATCTACAGGACTAACTAACTCAGATAGTAAACCACATCTCACAGTATTCCCTGTATACTCGCCTCTAAACAGCACCTAAGGCTGAGACTGGCTACGTGTTAGACGTTTGTACATTCAAGAATGAAGTTCTCTCTTTGTGCTTATTCTACATTTTGGGTGAGACTCTCTAGGCTGCAGAATTTCAGCTAGTGTGGAATTCTTTGCAAACTTTTTACATTGCTTCAATATTTAACAGTGGTGTGTATTGGGAGTTTCTAAAATGTTACATGAAGCAGCCACTCCCAAGCAGGGAGTTGCCACACACCACACACTCATTTGAATATTTCACTGTGAGACTGTCAGAAAATATTACACTTGCAGTAATAATAAGGGTTATGTGTGATTGTATAAATGCACAACGACGAATATTGTTAGCTGAGCTGAAAGTCAATCCTTAATGCATATGATTAATAAGTCTATGACTATATATATCTATACACATCTTCTGGAAAGAATAAATAGCTGTGTTGATGAGGCCAATCTATTCATTTGAAATTCTAATCTTAACACTTGGTTACCAAGTCACCGAGTTGTTGCTTCATTAAAAAGGTTAACACTTGAGTTGTTCTTCCTGCACATTATAACTTTTTCTTTTTCACCAAGTTGTTGGTGTACAATTCCCTATTTAAATTACGAACATTTTGTTTAGTTAGTAAAGCAATGTTAAATTCAAACTGTTGTTATTATGTTGCCGTACTTAAGGAATGAGCTACTCTCTTTCACACATTGTACAATTTACTAATTTCCCACCAGTATCGGTTATTTCCTCAGATCAGGTCTGTGCTGATAGCCAAAGCCCAGTTAATAATATCAATATCTGGCCGGACAAAGTGGGATCTGTGCACCCCTAGATACAGTCCTAGTTTCACAAGTGGAAGCCCCCTCCCATAATGCCCCATTCAGCTGTCAGATAATTGGATAGTAAACTAGATGCGGATAAACAAGATTATTTGTTCTCTTTTAATTTGTCATGCTTCTCTGTGGTCAAAGTCAACTGAACTGTCAGGAACCTATGAGCTCATTTCCATATTGTTTGGAGTTGTATAATGACTCAAAATTAGCTTCTAATTAAATTTGAGGAATTCACACTTCAGTGCAGACAGTGTGTGTGTGTGTGTGTGTGTGTGTGTGTGTGTGTGTGTGTGTGTGTGTGTGTGTGTGTGTGTGTGTGTGTGTGTGTGTGTGTGTGTGTGTGTGTGTGTGCAAACGTCTGAGTGTGTGAGGCGTCCACTGACATTCATTTAGTAGTTCTTCACGGAGGAGGCAGAACATAATGGGTGATACACTCAAGCGAAAACACATCATCAAGGATCAGGTTCACTTTGAGCGAAGGTAAAAGTTGTTTATCAGATCAAGATTGAAGCTACAAGAATTATATTATTTGGTTCGGCAGTTTTTTCACAGAACCAGTGACTGATTTGAATGTGATCACAATAACTCTAGGTAATAATTCAATGAAACTTTGGTAAGTTTGCCCAAAGCCACCTCTGTCTGACAGTGAAATACATCTCCTACTTATTTGAAAACCAGTTTACAAGTTCGATACAAAAAAACTGTGTAGCCAGGTTTTAGTTGTATCGATTCGGTTGTTTCTACACCCTCGGCATTTCAAATGTGTTTTTTCTCCACTTTGTCATAACCTGCCAGCTATACTGCGAGGTGCCTGGTCTGAAAGATGACTTGCAAGTTAACAATCACCAAACATGTGGAATGCAGCAAAGCATTCCACACATTTAGTTTTTCTTTTCCTCTTCTCGTCATTTCTTATATGCAGACTCTAAATTGCATTTTTCACTATTCAACTAGCTTCTGTTGTCCCATTTTATTTATCTTCTTGTTGATTGTTGATTGCACTTTAAGCTCATAGGCAGTTTGCTAATTTAATGCACAATGTAAGTGCATTCCTGTAAACTATTCAGCTA